GCATTGTGCCGGTGTAGCGCAACACTAGCCTTACTAAAATATCGACGTTTATGTCCCCTCACTAATCATTCTGACACTTGACTTTGTAACAAAAGCGCGCCATTCGCGCAAATGGTTCGAACTAATAAATTAATATAAATAACTGTGGTCCGTGTATGGCGAGAATGATAAGCGTAAATAACCGATATGATAAATTAAAGAGAGGTTAGTTATTAAAGAATAAGATGTTTATATAAATACAATATTTTCTATATCCAAAGAACATCGAAAACTCCTAACTAAAGGTCTTGTTTCGTTAGATTTTATTTCCTGCTAGTAATAAAACGCTAGAGGCATTTCGGTTCAACAGCGCCCAGCTCAATTACAAACTAGTTATAAACTTTTTAAAAATATACGTACTTTATAAACTTTAAGTTCTAAATCCTTGGAGCGGTTAACTAGAGTTTCTTAAGACATATTTAAAAAAAAATTCTTAACGAAAAATTACCAGATTTTATTTTTAATTTAATTTATTTGTCAAATTAATCTTGTAATGTATCCTATGAACTTCATTACTAATAATAATTTATTCAATTGGGAATTAAAATTATTGACATATTGTTATCTCTTTTTTTAAAAGAGAATGAAAGAGATGACAATATGTTTTAATAAAAGAGTTACGTCAATGGAGTTCTACTGTTAGAATAATTCCGAACAATAACGACAATTTAGTTCCCGTCGACAGTAAATGGCGCCGCCTTTATTTATTGCGCCAAACTAATTTATTCTCGGAATATATTTTATTAAAGTGCTTTGTAAAATTGCGGTATTTTCCTCGCTTTGTTTATTCAAGGAATATCTGAAAGGAAATTATTGAACATTAGAAATATGTTTAGTACTTGTTACGTACAAACATTGATCTGTTATAAGTGGATAGGGGATTGCATAGAAATGACAACTTTTTCTTCGATTTAAACGTCCTTGTTGATGTTACATGTCAGTAGATTCTATAAATATTATTAGTTCCAATCCACACCACCACGACAAACCGCTACCATCAGCGCCAAAATGGCGAGAATCAAATAGGCACAAAACACTACATCTTTTATCCAGTCCATTTATAGAAGTCAGTGCGTACAAGCCTTTATTATTCATGTGCAGTCGCCCGCATTGTTTGTTTCGGGATCGTATTTAAACCAGTTAATATGAAGGTCGTTCCGTCATAAAATGGTGAAGGATGTCAAAACCACCGGCACGGATCCATGACAACTGCGCACTACATTTAGATTGTGGAACGTTTTAAAAAGCTATAAATAATTTTAATCACTTTAAATCAGATATTTTCAAACTTTTCTCTCTTAAACACTTGTAAATTGTACAGGTCTTAGTTTTTTAATTTTTCCCTACTCTATTTAGGGTTTATATTCCACTAAGGCACATACCACGGGTCTTTCATAGACTCCAGGGGGTCCTGGAGCACTTTGGATCAATTCAAACATATTCATGGATTCCTTGAAATCAGTATAAAGTACTACCAAAAATATTTCTTTATAAAAAAATATCAGGAATTGAATATTTAACTTTTTATCTTTTGGATTACACGACGACGATTAAAAAAAGCATTAAACGGTCGTCGGACACGATCAGTCGCTTAATGGAAGAAGGGTTTTAGCACACATACTATGTTAAAAATATGTGCACTCAACAAGATTGTAAATCTTACGCCGCGTAATAATATTACTATATTTACTCATAAGAGATTTCCTCTCGATTTATATGCCGTTGAAATAATATCGTCACAAAATAATAAATGATGCTGTAAAGCTTTTTATGTATCTTCACACGCGCACTTTATTACTTTCAGCGTAAAGAAACGATGCATAACTTTCAGCACTTGGCACTTGTGTGTCGAGAAAAAATTGGCAAATAAACAAACTACTCCATAATAAGAGTAAATTTTACTCTAATTCTTATTCAAGTCAAACGCTTTATATATTTTCATCGTAAACTATATTCCAAAAGATTAGTAAAACAATTTTTTACAACATAACTTTGCGACAAAACCTAGTATAATATCATTTAAAAATATTAGCAGAATTTTGTAGGCTTGTGATAGGATATGGTTTACGACAATAGTCCAATGGATTCGAACTCTCGACCTCGTGATCAGAAATCCATACCCTTAACCATTAGGCTATAAGTGCTAGTATATTTTTAATTTCAATTTATCCTATTAAATTCGACTTTGCTCTTAATATAGGATAATCTTACCATATTGCGGAAAAATTGAAAGTAATTTCTTTGCACATTTGAAAGTAGAGCAATAAAGAAACCAATTGTAGCGCCCCCACAAAAGTAAGTGTATATTCTAGTCTAGATAGCATGTTAGAGGGAACGTTAAAGCCAAAACATATAATTTCCTCGTAACTAGCTGACCGTTTACTACTGAACTGAAACTGGCCAGTATTGTTTAGTGAAGTCTGTTATTGTAAGACTGAAATTATATACTATTTGTGGCAGTCAGAACAGGTTTATATGGAAGAGATTTTGTTTTATAAATACATACTATATGTACATACGGTTTTAGGTTTAGTACCACCCTGGATTAAATTACTACGGCACCTTTTTTACAGTCTTTGAGAAGGATTAAAAGGGTTATGTGAGACTTTGTAATTTGCAGATCTATGGCGCCCCTTCCTGTGTAGCGCCCTGGGCGGTCGCTCAAGGGCGCCCTACTCTGACGGCCCTGTACGTTAAAATGAAACAAAATTTAAATGGTAAAAAATTTATTTATAAACAAAAATATATTGTATCCATTTTAACATAAATTACTATACGTACAGATCAATCTTAATTATAATATCTACAGTAATTTACAGTTTTATTATGGTCCAAAATATATTTTTTTAATTAGTTGGATCAACGTTTACATATTTCTTTTTATTAAAATTAATTTATACTAAAACGAAGAAGTGATTGATAGGATTGGATTAAATTAACTGGCGATTAGAATTTTATAATTAAATATAAAAATTGTATAAAAATCACGATGCATTTTTATTAAAACAATTGTATTAAGACTCAAGTATTTTGTAATTTAAGTTTGAATCTTTTTATCTTAACTTGTGTAATATTAAAATTTAATGAATGAAATTAAGTTAGCTTCATTAAAATGTTAATGATATTTACATGTAAATGAAAATGTAATACTGTTTATTTGAAATGAACTTTAATTATAAAGGGTCTTTTCCACTTCACTAAAATAAACTTAATTATATTAATACTATCATTTTTCAGTATAGAACTTTGTACTACGTACCACTTTAGGGATATTAACTTTGACTAGATAAATTAATAATGATGTGATGTTAAGAATACTAAATCCGAACTAATTGGTCTGATTAAAAATATGAATTATTTCTTAAGGTCGTAATGTCGAAATATTAACATATATGTTGTCTTTTCACTCTTTCCTTCAATACTGCTATCTCTCTTTCTTTTTGATTGAAATACAATCCAACATATTTCTATGTTAGTTTTTCGTCAGTGCAACCTAGAACTTACCAAGAGTAACACGTACTTATAGAAAAAACTCGCAAAATAAAATGGCAATGAATTTGTTTGAAGAGTGGCATTTGAATGTGTCATATTTTAAATTTTTTAACAAATACTATATTTTTAAATGCATTTAAGTTTGCAGTACAGACAGTAAATAAGCCAGAATTAGAGAGAAATTAACGTAATAATAACAAGTATTGAATAAGAAAAAAAACTGTAAATATGTAATCGGTACAGATTTAAATATTGTATAATTTTAAAGTACGACAGTTAGTACGAATAATTAATTTGAATTGGTTATACTAATACGCCACGAAATTATAACAAAACTTTTTTTTTCATTAAAATCTCGTTTAAAAATTAAAACTAACTTTTAAGTACTAAGTAATCATTATTGCAACTAATTGTATACTTATAGTTAAAATAACAGTTCTCGTGTGCTTATAATACAAACATAATATTTTAAAAGGCGGGTAATATATGAATTAACTAAAGATAAAACCTATCCAAGTGTGTTTTATACAACAAAAACATTCATACAGCGTGTCCCAAAATTCAACGATAAAACTGTAATGATGTATAGCCAGATCGATAATTACACGGGGAAAAACACAAAAAAAAATCCAAGTCTTTTTGTTTGACAGTTTTTTTGTAACTTTTCTTATAATTTGATACACCTCCACCATTATGCGATTAGACACTGTGGCTACAAATATGAAGATATTCCTGCAATTTTTTGTATTGGGACACGCTGTATAAATTAAATAATATGTTAAACTATTAGTTAAAATGTTATTTATTGTTATTTTCATTATTTCAACAACATAAATAACAAAGACAATATTGTGTTTTGTTTTAATTATAAAATTAAATTGTGTTTTTAAAAGGGTTATGACAAATTATACCAATAAACTTTACTAAAATAATAATAAAAAATAAACGTTTTACACAGATAATACGTGTACATCTATGGTACTTATTAAAAAAAAAAGATTAAAAAAAGGCATTTACGATAAGGCCTATACTATCGTAAACTTTAACACGTTATAACACGTATGAGAAAGAAAGGCTTGCTAAAATGTTTCATACAAATGTTTATAAAAATCAGTACAGTACAGTCAGCTTCATAAATATGTCTACATTTTAAAAAGATTCAGAAACTTGTATACTTTCGGTTTCAAAAATATCTCTACACGTTCGTATATTGCTGACCAATACAAGTTTGTGATGAATACGTGCGTACGTATTTTTAAAAGCAAAGACCACTACACACTCTAGAACTTTCCGAAATTATGGTAATGTATATATATTTATTCAGCTGACTGTACTTAAATAATACCATTAACAAATCAACACCATTGATATAATCTAAAATTAAATATCTTCAATCACTTTCATATAATCTGTACTTAAAACTAACAACGCTTGAACAAACCTTTGACAAAATTAACCACACACATTAACATGAGTATCAAATTTGCTTCGTCTTGTTTAACGTCAAAGTTTAAAACACATTTTAACATCTAGATTAAAGATAAAAATTATTTACATAATTTAAAAATTGTATTTATCTTAATCACCCCTGTATCCATTTTAATATTAATAATTAATTAAATTAAACATTAGACCATAAACTAAGTTGGGGCTTTTTCTATATGATCGTTCAAATTGTTTTTGGTCAATCGTGTTCTGTTTAATAGGAAATCTAAATCGTTTGATATTTTATTTAACATTTTATTTGTTTCAGGTGAATCGTACGCTATATTCCATTGTTTATTTACTTGATCTATATCTGATTTCACTTTGGGTTCATCACTCACCACGTCCATGGACGGCAGAGATACGCTCGAATTGAATTCTTGGTTCTTATTCTTTTTTAAGCAGCTCTTTATTGGCGGTGATGGTATCCTCGAGACATCCGGATTCGATTGTACACATATTGAGCAAGATTCCTTTGATGTATCGAATCTTTTTTCATAAGGTTCGAAGTCTACGGAGCAAGCGAGGAGTGGAACAGGAGATTCTCTAGGTGGGGGACTATTAACAACTCCTAGTTCGAGACATACTCGTGCGATGTAGTCTCTCTGAGGTGGTGATTGCGGTATAAGATCGCAGACCGCATGCGTTGTGGTTATATGTCGTGTTTCATAGCGCTGCGGTGTTAATACTGAATCTTTAAATTCTACACAACGCACTATGTCCGCTCGACTGTCCGGTGTAGATTGTCGTCTGTGAACAAAATTTATATCATATGTTTGTTCAAAAAGTTTCCAAATATGCTTGTAGTACAAAAATACTTTGAAAGGAACTAATTTAAGCTTCTTTCAAATATTTTTCAGATTGAAATTATTTACCAAAATAAGCTTATTTTGTGCAGACATATTATTGAGTTATTATAAAGTTATTCAAATCAATAGAATTGTAGCGATAAAATGTTCTTCGAAACATTACATAACGATATATACGTGAATAGTACAGTCGCCTTCATTGGCGGTACTCCAGTTTTCGTAAAATTCCTTTGCACCTTCCTACGAACTTAAGCATCGCTCCCATTTTCCCAATGACAATTAGAGTGCTATTGAAGTTAATAAAATGTTGATCTTACTATTGTGACTTAACAGACATTTTATTCCGAGAACAAATTTAAAAATGCCTTCTTATTTTCTTTTGAACACTAAACGTTCAAACAAATATCGCGTTATATAGCACCGTTAGCGGAGCTTACTGTACTTTTGCTTAAACTTCAAATTCAGATTAGTAAACAAAAACCAGTATCCATGCGATTAGTCTTTTAGTAATAGTCCTTAAAAATAGCAGTTTCAGCCATTCAAAGATTTTTGTTAATAAAGGAGACCCAACACCAGGGTAAAGCAGTAATCCTGTGTACAAGTATTTTTACCTTCATTGTATTACCTATGCATTCCCGCGGGACTCTCCAAGCCAGGCGCGCGCCAGTAGGACGCGACAGGGGATACTGGTGAGGATGACGACTCCAGAATACCAACTCCACCGCGACTCTCCACCTCGCCGCCTTGCTTTATGTACACTACAATTGTTTTCAATATTTAATGAATGAATGAATGAATGAATTAATATTTACACATTCAAAATTTAATAATTTTTGAGGTTATTGAAAACAAATTAAGGTACGTATCATTGGCCCGCGCCGGACGCACCGCACGCACGGATTAAACAGATTTGCTTTGTTTTTCAATGCGGGCTACGTAAAATCATACAATGCAAACTAAAACCCGTTGCTGGCCGACGCGTACCGTAAGATTCTAAGACAATTTTTATTTGTTGTCATAAAAACTGTCAAAAATCAACAATAAAACTGTATAGAAATTACTCCTACATAATACGTGTTTTATAAATTCATTTACTCTATAACTAACATAATTTATTATTTAAAACAAAAATAAATAAAGTCGCGATTACTGACAGCTAAGTGAAGTATCGCCGGCGCGCGAGTCTTCCCAGTCTCGGTGCGAGGGCAGCGACAGCACCCGCTTGGCAGATTGCAGGCACTCGTCATCATGGATCACGTAGCATACCAGCATAGCCACACCCTAAGGTACCAAGGTACAAACGTATTGCTGTTAACAGGTTACAGTTAGTGGCTGAGGTGAAAAGTATTTGACTTGTAATCTACAGGTCCTGCAGGTTATGCAACCTGCACATATCTGCGAAGGAATTCAAGGATGTGTGTGAAGTCCACCCGCACTGGGCTAATGTGATTGACTATGGCTTAGGCACCCCTTTTTTTTTCAGAGGGGAATGCTTTATATATACTCCGCGCCCCGGGGGGACGCGGTAGTTATGTGGGATTCTCCTCCATAGCGGAGGCATACCCACTAAACCCCTCTGTTCCTCCAACGCATCGGCCGGCTTAGGCACCCCAAACCAAGGGTAGGCTCCGAGCCCCTTAATTGGGATGTAGTGTCCTGATGATGTATAAATGTCATGTTGGCTTTTCCTTCATTCTTTTGCCTAAATAAAGACATTATCTTACTTAAAAGTGTTTCATTTATGTACAAATATATCGGAAGTATAATTACTAAATGTATTTTACCACACTATTAAACTTCTAACTTTCCAATTGCAAGCGAATAAATACAAATATATGATAAACATCCATAGAAATAGTTAAGTAACGTTTTATTGTACGTATAACTCAAACCAACACTTAACAAACGGAATATTGATTTTAACCAACTGAGAATTCTATTAGAATTTCAGACGCGTATTCGCTCCTATAACTCACGCAAGATTACAACGCCTCGATATATTTATCATTATTATTCTTGTAAATCTTAGAAATAAGAATGCTCGTAATAATTCAATTTTACTGCAAAAGACTCCAGTAATTTGATACAACAGAGCTTAGCATTGCTGCAATAAATTATATAATGTTACATAATCAAATTCAATCTGTACTCGCTTTTTTACATTGTCTTATGAAAGTTTTAACCTTTGCGTAAAAGGAGTGGCGACAGAAAAGACGAATGATAGATATATTTGGAGGTTGAAATGGAGGATAAGAACAGGGAGATGATGATGAAACTTTAAACGACTTACATTAGCGAGTACCGCGGCAGAGAATGCGGCGACCTGTGCGATGTGATGTGTGCCCGGCTGCACGTAGAGCACGCCCGTCGCCTGCGCCGCCGACGTCGTGAACAGCAGCGCTAGCGTGTGGCGCACCACGCGACGACTAAATTAAACCAAACGTAATTTAACAGTGGTAGAGCGAGCTCAAACATGTTCGCACGAATTGGGCCCGGTGAAATACCACGACCACACAGAAGACAGGCCTCAAGTGGAAGCTATTCCGCGTTTCGTCCGATCAGTGTGCGTCCCGAAGGCCTAATTTAGTCCTCTTTCCCTTCTCACCCTTTTTCTTATAAGGAAAGGATGGGAAGTAGAAGTGGACTTTCCGGATGAGAGGATGCATGGAAAGGGAAAATATAACAATAATGATTTAAAATTAATAACTTACCGATCTTTAAGATATGTTCTTCTCTCGGCTGGTATTTTATGCGTTATAGTCCTCAATCGTAAAGATACACATAAAGCTAAAGTAAAACACAACATTGCTAGAAGAATGCATCCCGCCGCGCACACAACTTGCGCAGCTGAGCCTATTTGCAGCGGCGCTCCGCCCCACAGCCGCGCTGTCAGCCACGCGAGCGTACTGACACCTGATGACAAAACTTATCTGTTTACTTTTCAATCCCACTTATACAATATATATTTTTTAAAGACTTAACAGAGATGAAGGCTTGCTTGATACCTAGCTAAGTATAAGCTCAAATTAAAGGCTGCCATAGACTCTAAAATTATTAAGACACTAGCTGTCACCCGCGACATCGTCCGCGCAGTTTTAATAAAAAAAAATATAGCCTATGTGTTCTTCCATACTATGTTCGGTATCCTTGCCAAATTTCACCAAGATCCGTTAGGCCGTTCTGGAGCTAACTTCATACAAACATCCATCCATCCATTCATCCCTCTTTTCATTCATTGATATAAACATTCGCTTTTATAATATTAGTAAGATTCAGCAACCAATGAGGAGAAATAACTCAGGGAAATTCTTAACAAAATCAGAAAATTCTCTTCTAAAATCCGAAAGTATAGTGAAAACACACCTTAAACCTTACCTATTTAACTAACCTATTTTTTATATAATATTTGTGTGTATGAATTATTTTATATGGAACAAGAACCAGTCATAAAATATATGATAAAATATGCAGCACAATTCAGATAGTGGTAAGGTAACATATTGACACAAATTCCTTCAAGGTCTTTTAACGTTCAAAGTATTTATTATTACATATTTTAGCAAACTATGTTAATTAACTACACTTTTAAATTATTGATAAAACATTATTACGAAATAAAAAATGCCTTAGTAACTAACTAGTGTTGTGTTAAAAAAAAATCTTTTTTTACCTGCGACCAGGCCTACAGAGGGTGCGCGCTGACCTCTGCCAGCCAGCTCCGCTTGTAGCATGAGAGGTTGAGCGCAGAGCGCGGCGCAGCCAGCGCACCAGCACGCCGCGCACACCCAGCCCAGCGCGCCCGGACATGCCTCCTCCTATAGTTAGAGATTCATTTATACATCTTGACTGCAGAAAGGCAATATAACAAATTTTTAAATTAAAAATAAGTTATTAAAATAAATGCTCAATTTAGGTATTATTTGGGACTTATTAGAAACACAAAATATAATTTTAAAACATTATCTATATTCTATATCAAAATAGCGAGAAAAGGCAGATGGCAGTGATCCAGTGAAAAGGGACTGATGTATTTTTCATCACTATAAACTTATAAATAACCGTCAGAATTCAAGAAATCAGAACAGTTCAAAACATATAACCTTATCTCGTATTACAGTATTTTCACCTGTCTAGTATCACATTCCAACAACGTGAGTATTGCAGCGGAGTGCGTGCCCGCTGTGGCGGCCTTCAGCAGCACCGGCAGTCGAGGCTTCCTTCCAGGCACCAGTGCTAGGAGTTGCAAAGCCGCTGCGGTCAGGCACATCGCTCCGCCCAGACCGACCGTCACCTTGACCACCCCTCGTAGATCCTTTTCTACGTCAGTCTGGTACGACAACAATTTATATTAATTTAAAAAAAAATATGGGCTCAGTTCTTCATATTTTGCTAGGTGAAAACGGTTCGTAAGATTTGATAACCTGCTTATTGTTTTCACATCTGGTTTACCAAACGTTTAGCTTGAATCATGATAAATATAATAAGTTCGGTGAGCTGATGACCTTGAGTAGCGAAGTATTTGAAGAAATATTTTTATGGTGAGAATCTTTTCGACGTAAAGATTTTAATGGTCAGATCTCTATAGCAAGAATATTGGAAGGTTACATGTTGTTTAGTTACTCACCAGTTTGGATCTAGCTATAGTGAAGAGCGCAAAGGTACCGAAACCTCGGCATCGACACGACACGAACGCAGATTCTGGAATACGAACTTCGCACGCCTTGATATTCCACGCTCGAGGTTCCGATGGTGTTCGTAAACCGCACGCCAACTTCGAGGCTAGTTTTATTAGAAGAGCAAAATATTAATATTAGAATTAAATGACTCAATAACTGACATAAATAAGAAGGGATTGAATACTGAAATAATTCGTGATATATTTTGAAGTCGCAAATGATAATGATAAAAGAAACTAAACTACATAATTAATAGCCGTAAGTATTCCCTTTACGTGTAAAAGCAGTCATTTATTTCTTACCTATCGCACTGTAGTTTTTGGAATGTGTAAATAGTAGGGAAACCGAGTGCTGCAAAGATTGATCCACGCCTCCGTAAGCGGAGACTTGTATTTGCTGTGACGCCGGAATGTATTCCAGTTCACGTCCATTTCTCGAAAATGAGTGGCTGGAACAACGGTTAAATATATACTGGAATGCTAATCGAGAAAAGAGGTTGGATTTGCTGAATTGTCTTTTTAAATATTCGCCAAATAGCTATTATAGTAGCGCAGTCTATTAAACAATACGTTAAAGCTATGGCCATTTCCAAAGGATTCAAAAGTCACAAAATATTATTTCAGATTAACTTAAAATTTTATTACAACTTTTCACTACGTTGAATTTATTTTATGACAAGGACTAAAGAAAGGAGACATTGGTGATATTAACAGCCATGGCCATTTGTAAAATTAATATTAAATAAAATAAACAAAATATATTTTACTACTAAGTTTAAATTGTTACCCGATCTATCTTTATTGTGTCTACGACTCCACATCGATACTATTATAAGTTTGGTAGACATTTTCTGAAAGGTGATGTTATTTCTAACTTACTTAAGCTCAATCGATCTTCTTAAAGAAGGTAATCTAGAAGTTAAGTCGTTATAATGCACCAGCACGACCGAAGCGTTCCCGGTCCGGGCTATTAACTCCACACCGGCAGATGTGAGAATCCATTCGTGGCCAGATGTGGGTGCAAAATTGAAGTGGGCAGCATTGTCGTCTTTTACAGATTTAGTTTGTACTGTAAATTCTTGATTCATAATATCCAAATTCTCTTTCATCCCAGCCGTTTCGACGACTGCGTTTTGTAGCTCGTAAATTTTCTACAAAAAAATTATCATCACTTTACTTCTACACTTGGATTTACGAAACCATTTCTATTTACAACTAATTGGAATTGCTTAAATCTTTTTAAAAGCTCTTAAAGATAAGTTTTATTGACAGTGATTTTTATAATTTCCATTGCCTCAAAGGCGATGAATAAAACTGTAATAAGATATCAGAACTCAGGTAAAAATAATAAACCTTTGTAATTAACATTTATAGAGGGAATGAGACTTCAACTCGTAGTCTTTAATTACGTTAACATTAAGAAAATGAACATTCTGGAAATTTTATAAAGATAATAAAATTCTTAACGGCATTACTTAGCGTCTTTTTCTCTTAATATATTCTTTGATCATACACGAGATTAAATTGTTGTTTAAGTCAATAATGAAAGAACACACAAGAATAGTATCTAGAGTAGAAGCAATATTTTTATAAGTAACTACCACTAGGTAATCTTTTTAATTAGCTAGGAAAGTTAACGTTAGTTAGTAACAGTTGACAGTCACCTTTTATATTATTATTTTTAAACAGTTTTCCTATACACAGATAAACTTAACGTTACGATAACGTTAATCATCACTTACCTCTTCATCAAGGAATGCGTCAGGATGTTTCAGCAGGGTATCATAAATTTTTAGCAAATGTTCTGTACTTTCAACTCTGTCTCTTGGACTACCAGCTGCTGATACTAAATACTGGACCATATTCCGGGAATGACGTAACGGTATTGCACCTTCCCCAGGATGAGCTGGTAAAGAACGAAGTATGGCGCCGTACTGATGGGCAATATCGGACACATTAGACCAAGAGTAGCCGTAGGAGACACGTGTAAACTGAAATATAAAGAGAACTTTACAAATTTATGCAACTATTGAAATTAGTGGAACCTTTTATGAAGCATAAAGTAAATTAATATTTATTTATACAAAGAGGGAGCACGAAGGTAGAAGATGACATAAAATTCTAAAAATAATAATTAATCGAAATACAATTTCAATATACCTGCTCATAAATGTCACGCAATGAATCAGCTATACAACCAGAAAAATCTGGAAGCATCCATTTCACACCATGTTGTGTTGTTTTCGGCTCACAGAACCTAGAAAGTGTAATAATATTTTAAAACAGATATTCACATGCTCAAAGCCAATAATGTTGTTCCGTACTGTACCTTGTAGATTCTCCAGTATGTCCAGGTGGGCACGTCGCAGTAGCATGAGCCCCTGGCGCAGTCTTCGGCCAGCGAAGACCGTGCGATGCTTCAGAGTGACACGCTTCATCCTTCTCTCCAAGAGCCCACATCGTGACACCTTTCGAATTAGTTCCCGCTACTGATGAAACTTGGCACCGAAACTCGCTAGATTTCTGTGTAGATTTTAAACTACATAGATGAAAAATATTTTGGACACAACACCATATAAAAATACTAAAGAAAAAAAAGTTAATTTGTTTTGTTTTTAATAAAACATACGATTGATTTTTCAAAACTCAATGTTAATATAAAATTGCTCTTACTTGTACATTATATAATTTCAACACGCTTCCAGCAGGGTATAAGTCTTCCCAGACTTCTCTTCCAGGAGCAAGTTTTAAGAGTGTTCGCTCTCTAGCCCAACTGAAGCCAAGGGCGCCATGTATTCTGCCAGCGCCGGCCAAGCATGTTATGCTTACGTTATCACCCTATATAAAAGAGTGTGGTTTAATTTTTTTTTGTCTAATCAAAGTGGTGACTACACTATCTCCTCGTCATTTCTGTACACTTAACCTTACCTTATTGACAGTTAAAGCAGAAGGCACTAGACGTATATCAGGTGGACGTAGAACCAACAGTCGTAAAGCTCTGCAGCGCCGTCTGCCCGCGTCATCAGCTGAACATGACCATCGTCCACTATCAAGAGTTCTAGCTTCTGATACCCCAAGAACTGACATCCGTCTTCCCAGCGCATCTTCAGCTACCGTACGCGTCCATATGTCTCTAAATGAAATGTTTGTTTTATAACGTCTTGATATAAAATGTCACTGTCGAAAACGGAAAATTTTGCCTCAGGCAAGGCTTCTCGAGGTAATATTTGCCTCGTTTAGGATACCTGATTTTATTGTTAAATATAATTTTATAAAATGTTATAATAAAGTCATGACATATGTAATTATACGGAGGCGAGGACGGCTTGTATTGCCTCAGGCAAGACATGTTATGAATAAAGAATGTTTATCTCCCGGAGTGCGCCGGCAATGTGATGCGAATCGAGTTTTCGAAATAGAAAATGTAATATTTATAAGACTTTTACAAGTATGCTAGCTAACTAGCAACTGTCCATCGAACAGTTTGATGAAGGAATAACTTGATGAATAATTATATCTAATCTAATAGTATTACTGCATTAACTTGACAATAATACTCATACGTTCTTTTAATGTTTACCTTTTGTTTTTAAAGCTCTGTGTCTGATGGCTAGGCTACAATAAACCATATAATTTAGTAACTGTCGCCCGCGACTCCATCCGCGCGGAATTAAAAAAACTATTGGTCGCAGCATAATGTTATGTAACCTAAAGCCTTCCTCTATATATGGACTTTTCAACAAAAAAAGAATTATTCAAATCGGACCAGTAGTTCCTGATATTAGCGCGTTTAAACAAACTCTTCCGCTTTATAACATTAGTATAGATTAATCTAGACTTCATTGTAAACTAGTCTTTGTTGTCTCGGCTACTTCTTATTATAAGAAAGTTATAATAGACCTAAATAGAAACTAGTCGACGACTTTAGAGAGGGAACCGATTTCTAGTACTTTATAAGCGGTCATCAAGTGAAGAGTGGAGTAAGGTCGTGGCTTCTGACCTCGAGAGACATGTTAACTTTGGTAACTAATTAGATAGTATAGAGATTTAAACGATTTATTATAAGTTGGTAATAATTTTTACAATTTTTGTTAATTGTAATAAGTTTTCCTTTTCACTCATTCTTCATTACTTTTATAAGCTGTGTTATCAATTCTTACTTCTTACTATATATAATATTATAAATGTCAATGTTTGGGTGTATGGATGTTTGTTTGGAGGTATCTTCAGAACGACTCAACGGATCACGATGAAATTTGGCATTGAAGTAGAACATAGTCTTGAAGAACACATAGGCTATTTATTCGATGTTTTTTTAATAACGTGTAGCCGGAGTCGCGGACAAGAGCTAGTTATATAATAAACAACATACCTAGTTGTTCCGTTAAAGTTGATCTTCACGCCATCTTTGTACCAAGTGAAGTTAATGTCGGGTGAACCGTAAGCCATACAGCTGAGAATGAACTCGGAGCCTTCCCAAACTTCTGGACGTTGGTTAACTATTAAAGCCTAAAATAGAACATTACTATTAATATGTTCCTTTAAAACAAATACTAAAATTACTAAACTACATGAAAATGTCTTAAAAATATCTAATGTTTTTGTAATTTTTTTTTAACCGGCGTCAATGTTGCCGAGTGCTTGAGGCTGCCGTTGTCGACTGTTTGAAGCTGTCCGTTTATGGTGACCCTTCCTTCTATTACTTTTAATAGCATTTATTTTCTTTACAGTACGAGCTGAAAGTTGAATAAAAACCAATATTTACACACATGAAGACTGAGCGCAGGTTGCATATCAAAGTGTAGAGTTGCTGGTAGTAATCGGAGGCGATCTGTACGGGCACGCGTCGCCGCAAGGCGGGACAGCGCGGCACGCAGCGCGCCCGCCTCTCTCCGCGCGCTCCACACGCGCAACCACACTGAGCGACCGCCGTTCGTATCCACATCACTGTACAAGAACCAAACTGATGTTATTCCAACCTAATCCATAAGAACTACTTTCCACTAATCGGCAAAACGAGTGGAATTGTCATTTGTAGGCGAAATGCATGACCTTTGGCGTGGCCATAAATCCTATGCAAATTGAGGGCTTAATTTGTTTTTAAAAAAAGCTTGTAGCTTAGTGGAAAAATGCACTAACCAAAGAGTTTATATGTTGTTACAACAGAAAAACCTACCAGGGTATTTACGGATAAGGAGTTTACCCTTCTGCCAAGGGACATATATTAAAAGTTATTACAAGAAAAGTAAAAAAGATAACTCACCTTATGTTTAATATTTCAATCTCGTCATCTAAAGTTATATTCGACGCTTTCAAGTAACTTGTTACCTAAAAAAATATATTTAATTAAGACAATATTTCGAATTAATTAATACTGCTGCTAAAACAACGAGGGTTTTACTGTGGGACATTAGTAAGCGGCCATCTGAATTCACTAATAATAACGAAGTCTTAGTCAACAGATATCCACATTAGCGGATGTATTGCCTTTAATAGAAAAGGAGACGCACAGAAAGAAGATATTTAGCCTCAATATTCTTCAGCTCCTTCGCCAGATTCACTTACCCTCACTATCCCTTTCTTATAAGATAATGGAGTGAAGAGAAAGAGGACTAAAATTAGGCCTAAAGAGGACTAAATGTAGTTTTAAAATAATCGTAATCATTTATGTACCTGTCTACTAATTTCTTGCGAGATATTAATACTTCCTTGGTCAACAATCTGCAATCTTGTTTCGAATCTCGCTGACGCTAGAAATAAATAAGCCTGTAGCTGTATTAATCAAGCTTATTCAAATAATAATTTAATTTAAATTTATATTTTAAAATATTAATTTCATACTTCAATACTTACTGAAATCGTTTTCTCTTGGATTACAATCGCAACCGTTTTTATTTATACAACCCTCGTAACATTCTTCTATTCCACACTCTAAAAAAAAGAAACATTAAGAACAAGACATTTTCTGGTTAAGAAACATCATAACTCTAACATGAACTGACAACATTCATGGAATATCAATATTATTGTATTGCAGCTTACTTATTCAAGGTGTTTCTCATTGGACCGGAGGTTCGATCGAGCCAATGGGATACACTCGTTTGCCTTTGATAAATGATAAATGCATATTTACCTGGTGCGGCAATTTTCGATTCACAGAGATCACCCGTGTAGCCGTGTGCACAGATACAACTCACAGCAGCGGGGCCCATCTGTCTGCATAACATCGGATTTTTAGGAAACGAAAAATGTATTTTTATTCAGGAAACCCGGTTGCTTTATGATTAACATGTTATGTATGCATTTATATCTAGATAGAGCTAGTCAATAATAATCTAATATTATAAATGCAAATGAATAAATGATAGAAGGTATCTTCAGATTGGCTGCATGGATATCGCTGAAATTTGGCATAAATGTAGAACATAGTCTAGAAGAACATTTACTACTGATTAATTTTCTTTTTAATTTCACGCGGACGGAGTCGCGGACGACAGCTATTAAGTAAATATTAGAAGAAAAGAGTGACTTGTAAAATAATTTACCTGCATGTTCCACCATTTTTGCACATATTAGATGTCTTTGGACACAATGGACCCACGCCGCAGTCGACTCCTGAGTACCCTTCGAAACACGAGCAGAAGAATTCCCTACAATGACAAAACAAATGCTTGATAAAGTTTTCATAATGTGCTTAATCATTTGTGTACGGTGTACTAAGAATTTCCACTATCGAAACAGCTCTATAGAAACATATAGCCATCCCTTACATCGTATTTGAATAAACAGAGACAATATTATGTGTCAAGATAAGTATAACAGCCGAATCCCACGTTTACGGCAACAGTAACTTTGTCTCGAAACATTTCTCCATGGTGTTATTATATGATACCAAGATGGGAGATGGGGAAAATGGTAGTTAACTTCGTCAACTGATTATCAACAAAGGTTCTTTATAAAAAGTTTGTACTCACTTATAGTCATGTCTGGCATAGCAGTGTCCTAAGAGTCGACATTCGATAGCACTGCAAGACGGGGGTCCTGGCGGCTCTTGAGGTTTCTGTACGACGTATGTCACATTGAAGCCAAAGACAGAGAGCAGACCGAGCGCTCTCAATTGTGTTCCTTCTAACCTATCTAATGTTAATTCCACTACAAGGACGGGGCTTTGGACCTTAAAAGAAATATCATGGTACAATAATAATTTACAACAGAAACATTTGCAATACGACAATTGAATTTCAATCATAATATAGAAATATAAAAACTAACAAATAAATGAATTGGATGAAAAAGATGTTATAAAACGTGTTTTGTTGACATGGCAAATTCTAGTATATTCTATAAGATTTAAAATTTAAAACAAAGGTAATATGTTTCCTAACAAATATTTTTCCAAGACTATTGCGGCCGGAAATAGTTCAATTGAATTGCAAAACTATTTGGAATAAATACGCCATTTTTCTTATAAATTCAAAGATGAACGGAGTGTTTTTATGACAAATGTTACGCCACGGCGATGTCTTGCACTGTATCAAATATAAAATACCATCTGCCATAGCTTTAAAGAGGAATTAAAAAAAAAATAAGACATTTTATCGCGTTGATCTACCAAGTGTCAAAATACTGGACACATTTTGCATTTATCGGAGCAAAAGTAATTATTGAAAAGGGCAATACTTTAGCAACGTTGACTATGCATCGTTAAACTTCTCAGTTCCTGGAACCTTAAATGTTCCAAAGTTATTCAAGAATAAGGTATTAAATTCATTCGTCCCGGGAAGAAAACTACATTATAAATCTTATCAAATTAAAAAAAGATTAAAACATTTTAATCAAAATCAACCGGTATCAATGTCACTGGTAGATAGGTATACTCGAAATAAAAAAAAACACGAAATAGAATTTAATTCTCATACCTGTAACCATTTTATCTTAGTGATGTTCTCTTCAGTCACCGTCAAAGCTCTTCGTTCACCAAGCTTATAAGATTCATCATAGTACATATATTCAGTGAACGTGAGTCCACTAGTGGTGTACTGTTGTGTAAAATATACCGATATCGTGCCATTGATAACATCATGTTCAATAATCCAACGACATTTGATAGGCACTGGAAATGGATTCGGGAAATTTGGTGTTTGTATTGTACCCACGTGACTCCGCAAATAACCACCACATGGCTGTGGACCTAGATGCTCTCTATTCTCTTGGGAGTACACGTAGTCGAATGCGATTGTTACAAGCGTAATGCTTAGTAAATTACGCATTATCGACCTGTAACAAAGTAAAATATTTTATTATCAGGATCTACCGACCCTTAAGACGCTATCAAATCAAAGCCACTTGAACGCATGTTTTTTACTCATTTGTATATTTAATAAAACCGAAACAATATAATGAAAACGAAACGAAAACAATACGTCATATTATAACACGGTTGATTTGAAAAAATAATTCCAGAATTTACTTAATCTATTTTCGCTTCCTTGAATTTAACCATTTCAATAAAAAAATTGTGACTAACCTTTGCGCGGCCACATTTACAAAAAAAAATTTCAGCATGTACAGCGAGTTCAAAGTTATTTTATTTTTATAATTTCACATTCTTATTAAAAGGTTCCTCAGTTTTGAAAGCATGAACATTCAGCTTTTTTGTAATTCACGGTAGCTTAAATCTACGTTCAAAAATGAGGATGGTAACCTGTTCACTGGAGTTTATAAAATATAAAATTTCTAAAGACATTTTATTTAATTAAATCTTTTATAAAAAAAAACGTAAAGGATGAAAACAAAATTTTTCTTTTTTCAGTGTCAGCGGTGGAAGGGTTATTAGATGAATTAAAAATTTAAATATACTTCTATGACAGTTAAATATAACAAAAAGAACTATTCAAATAAATATCATGTTATCATCTATATATATATATAAAAGGAAGTCGTGTTAGTTACACTATTTATAGCACAAGAACGGCTTTACCGATATGGTTGAAAATTGGTGAGGAGGTAGCTTAGAGCCAGGAGGACATAGGATACTATTTATTCATTTTTTCCGAATTTATGCCTTGAAGAGCTGCTTTTTATTTAACTTACTAATATTATAAATGCGAATATTTAGATGGATGTAATATGGATGGATCGATGGGTGTTTGAAGATATCTCAAGAACGGCTGAACGTATCTAGATTAAATTTGGCATACATATAGAACATAGTCTGAAAGAACAGATAGGCTACACTCAATAAGTTTTTTATATATCCACGTGGACGGAGTCGCGGTCTACAGCTAGTATTACCTATTTATATGTAACAAGTCGTTTTTTATATGTAACAAGTCGTTTCTTACCGCTAGTGTTGTCCTGTCTACTTCTCAGTCGCTTAAGTCTTTACAGACTGGTCGTGGTAATTTAGTAGGTGCCTGTCTATACATGATACATATGTGACGAGTCTTTTATTACTGTTATGTTAGTGTTGTCCTGTCTATCGATATATATGTGCGGAAACATTTGTGTAAATATAAAAACGTTGGCATTGAAGTATCGTGTATTCAAACGGAGCTTTATAAAAAAAAATCAACACATTGAATGCCGGAAATTATTGCAAATTTATCGTTACATTATCATGCAACCGCATGCAGTTCACCAATAGATTATTAAAACGATATCAGATATACACACGTTATATAAATAAACGAAAATATTGACACTTACATCAGTTTGTTTGTGGATTCAAATGAAGGTAAAAATGGTACATTTTTGCGCAGTTACGAATACTAATACATTTTATTTATCCTTTTATTCGTTTTTATTTAGCATTTCCATTATTTAAATTCCAAGTTTCTATCTGTAAAAATTACGATACTACCATTTTTTTACAACTACCACTTATTTCCACCCTCACTTTCAACCCTTTTTTCGCATTAAAAAGTAGCCTCTGCCCTTCCCTAGACTCTATACTATTTGTATACCAAATTTCATTTAAATCGGTTTAGTAGTTTTTTCGTGAAACAAGGACAGACAGTTACTTTCGCATTTATTATATTAGTAAGTATTAGTAATAAAGTAGGAATTGGGAGGAAGAGATTGTTCCTTGTTATCTATGCATATATAGGCCGCGTTTACGACTAAGGAAAGCGTCACTTAAAGAAACTAACCACTAAAATAAATCACCAGGTGAATGTTTTTTTTTGTCGAACTTTATGTATTCGCCAAATCATATGATAGTTCGGAACTCTGAACAACGCTTTTCTCCATAAATTAATTAACAATGGTTAAACTCACGAATAGTAATTATACGTAAGTGTAGCCGGACAGATAGTCATTATCCGATGCTTTACGTGAGTTGTTAGTATATAATAATGTATCACGAAAGTTTAATCAATTTTAATGCTTTTGTCATATTTATTTGAAACTAGCTTTCGCCTGCGATTCCGTCTCCGTAATTAAAAAATAAAACATAGTTAGTTCCAGGCAATTATTCGTATTTTTCTCACCTTTTAAACCTTCCCTAGACCTCCACGTACATTTCAAGGCCAAAATAAGATACCTAAATCCGTTCAGCCATTCTCGATTTTTAGCGAGACTAATGAACAGCACTTGATTTTTATATATAATATAAAGATGATACAAATGACACTAATAGTTACAAAATGAGGTGTTCGTATTTGCAGTCTATAAAAAGGGTATTGACAGACAGACCGACTGACAACAAAGTGATCCTATAAGGGTACCGTTTTTTTCCTATGAGGTACGGAACCCTAAAAATTATATTGAATAGGATTTAATAATTGCACCTTAGTGTCCAGAGTAATACCCTCTTGAGAATGTTGTTTTAATTTTAAAAATGGAATAAGATCGGTCTTATTTATCTTAAAAGATTGAATCATAAACCAGTTAATTGAACGAAGCGCATCGTACAATGACCGCTTTCGAAAACAAAGTGTACCCAAGGTCATATTATGTAATCAGCATTTATTGTATTACCAACGAAATTGATAATAATCTTAGCAAAATAGTTTCAGTCCAATATTGTAGAGCAGAGATGGCGAACCTTTTTGTAACTACGAACCATTTTGTAAAGACAACTTACTATTATTACAAATTCGAAAGTTTAGATAGATGGATGGATATTTGTTATAAGGTATCTTCGGAACAGCTGTAGGAATTACACTGAAATTTTGCATAGATGTAGATCACAGTTTGGAAGCATAGGCTACTTATGATGTTTTTTATTCCGCATGTACGTAGTCGCGGGCGACAACTAGTGTTAGGGTCCTTCAAGAAGAGAGCGTATCGTTAACTCAACTTGCGATTTCTCTGATAATGCAGATGTCCATAGGCGTCCAACTCCCACGTGTTCCCGCTGCTCGTTTGCCCCCTTATTTAAATAAAGAAGAGTTTAATAAAGTCATAGACATGCCATCAAATAATTTTGAGTTTATTACTCTCCATTCCGTAGCGAAGAGATCGCGGAGGGATCGCGTTTGCTCCTATATACTATCTACGTAACAGTTCAGTTTTATGCGTATGCCAGTGTTTTGGTATCCCTGATCTAGAGCAATTTGCACTTTGGACTACTATTACCGAAACCGGCACAAAGACATATACAGGTATCTTTGTTTTTTACAAAGAGCGTGAATGGGATGACTACATTTTTGTAAAAATGTTACGATTCACTAGGGGTCTTTGAACTCATGAAGATTCGCATATACTTTAATTATTATAAAAAAAAACAGATTTAGTATTCCTTCATTGTAGTTGATTTGACCGACTACTCTACCATGCCTTACCATAGAGCTATGAAAGTAAATAGACTTAGTATAACCTACAGTGTGAAGTTAGTACATAAGGTCATATAAGGTCATGTTTTCATTCTCATTGAGAGATACGATATATCTTTGAAACAAATGTTTCGTTAGTACAAATGCATAGGTAATTTATAGACCAGCAGTCAGTCTCGAGTTCGTCCGCGCACAAGATATAAGCCTATGTTCCCGCATTCATTAGCTAGCTTTCAGTCAAAGTCCCGTCAAAATCGGTCCAAGTGTTCCGGAGATTACGCTGAACAAACGCGGTATAGCGGAGACGGACAAATAATTATTAAATATTAATATTAAAAATTAGTTTTTCGTAGTCAGCATCGCAAGACATCATGTTTACACAATATGCAGCATATTTTTTACATATATGTGTTTGTAACACTCGATAACTATTATATTATGTATAGATAGAAATATATATAAGTAAGGTTAGTAAACAATGTCATACGACCCGCATCGATGGTGCCACCCACTTTTCTGTTCGCAAAAACTTTTGTTAGTCATCAACAAACAAAACATTAGTCTTTTTCGACGCAGTTTGAAAAGTTTTTTTTAAAAATAGAACAATTTAAATGCGACCTCGTTAAACTCGCGACCTCAATGTCAACACTGTGGTAACACTACGGAAATTAACAGCCCTATGTGATATAGTTAACACATTATTTTAATTAACTGTTGCTGTGTTTATTTTAAATGAATTAATGGTAAGATCTTATTCTAAAAGAGGTATTTACAATAGATAAATTACAATAGACACCGGTAAATCGTGAAAGTAGACTGTTTGTAATTTGCCCATGAAATCTTAACAATGTAGTGTCGCTTTTCTCTATCTGCTTAGCTTGTATCTCGTATGGTCGTGGGGTCAGCTTTCCTAATTATTTCACTTCCCCATGTTATTAAATACTACTTTTTTCCACTTTATCTTATTTCTGGATCTGCGATCGGAAGCAAATTTTCGACGTAGTCCAAAAGTATCACTTCTGTTGACAATGACACTTCGGGACACATAGTGTCAAAATACTTGAAATATGATCCGTCGATTTGTGCATGATTTCATTGAATAAATAATTTACAGACAATTTCCTTTTTGTAGTGGCATAAAAAAGTGCAGAGGATTTTCCTGTAACAACTGCATACCATCAACACGACATAACAACAATTCTAATTTAAAACGCGTGCCAGCCAAGGAACAAAGACTTGAGGAAAGCAAAAAAACAAAGGAAAAGACTTGTTTCTGTGACTTTGGTCTTGATTTATTTATGACTGACAATGTATATTAAAGGAAAACAATAATACCGCTAATTAAGATTCATCGTATCATATAAAATGTGGTTTTAAATATAAATGGTGAAGTCCGAGACTCAGTCCACATTTATTTCTTAGTTTCCTTACTAAATTTATTTACGAAAATTTCGCATACATTTTGTGGTTATCAAATAACGTGTCATATAATATCAACAT